CTACATCTCTGTCGATCAACAACCGACTGTCTACGTGTCAGACAACAAGAATCATCGTGTGATGAAATGGAATAAAGGTGCAAAAGAAGGAGTTGTCGTCGCTGGAGGTCAAGGCCAAGGGAATGCTCTGACACAATTTTCGCATCCTAATGGACTGTTTGTCGATATGTTGGGTACCATCTATGTGGCAGACTCGTGGAATGTTCGAGTGATGCGTTGGCCAAAAGGAGCGAAACAAGGTACTATCATTGTGGGTGGAAATGGTGAAGGAGAAGAAGCAAATCAGTTCAACGGTCCCGCTGGTTTGTCCTTCGATCGACAAGGCAATCTCTATGTCGTCGATCATTACAATAATCGTGTTCAACGATTTTCTATCGAGTAAGTGTTAGAAGAGGTGTGAGTAGCGATTTGAGTAGGGGAAATAGATGCTGGTGGGTGTAGAGTGTGCGTGTGAGTGTGGGTATGGATGTAGATGCGCGGCTTCCGGTTCCCCATACTCTCAATAATTGCATCTTGTTCTTTTTTGTGGAACTCACATATATTTTCGAAGACAGTTGCGAGTGTAAGTTTTAAGTCAAGGTTTCATGGTTGCCTCCTCTCCACTAGAAACCTTAACAGCCGCAACCAAAAGTTTTCAACGGTTATCATAGGTATACGTCAATCATTTTGATACTGCTATCACTTGCAGTTATGCCGAGAAAAATGAGGGGTTTACTTTGCCAACGACATTGATTGAAATTTCAAGATCAAAGAGAGAAACAAGTGACGAAAGAGTGTAGAGCAGAGGTACTAGTATGCACACTATTCATTCCGAGGAAATGGCTTTTTCTAATCGTAGTTAGTGCTTCAGCATATATCTATACCTGTTTTAATTCAGAAGAAGCATCATTAAAGTCATTTATTACTTCATTCATTTTGATTGTTATCGCATTGTTTTGCTTCTTTATATCATAAAAACAATAGTGCTTTTATTTGGTGAAAAAGAAAATTAATTCTTTATCATAAACTAGCTAATGTTCTATTTAGTTTTATATAATAAAAAACCCATAACAATTTAATCATATCGAAGTGGTTTAAAAAAAGGATTTGATAATTTGTCAGTAATATTGACCACTGTAAATGAGAAATTAAATACTTTATTTTGTATACATTCGATTATGTCACTTCATTGTTTACAAAATTTTAAATATATTTTGTTATATAAAAGGAATTTACACAAAATTATGTGTTAATTGGCATGGAATATGTGAGTTCTGCATTTCAGTCCCAACAAGGCTGTACTAACAAGCTTATTCGATGAAAAAATTCATCATTAAGATTTTTTCGTGGAAACACAAAAATTAGTGTATAAATAGTAGCCAAATATTTCGTGCAAGCTACAGTTTAAAAATTATAAAACTGTCTTTTCTGGTTCTGCATTCGAATATAAGTATAGACAACTGATATGGCAATACTCTAGCAATAGCATCAACCAAATGAGATCATTGTAGTCCAAATTGGAAATTGTTATTGTTTCCGAGCCTTCGAGGAGTACCTGAGATTCAATTCGATTATCTTCTCGTTGTCGTACTATTTTTCCCCTCATCAACTATTCCAAGTGATGATTTTGATCAAGATCTCTATCCAGCTCGTCTTACCCTCATGACGATATCTTTTCTGAACATGAGGACTGCGGTCTGTTCGCCGATCGCTTTACCACTTATATAGATGAGAAATTCCAAACTATTCAAATTTATCCAAGGGCGAATCACAATCGCATCATGAACGTTACAGTGGATCACATGAAAACAATCAAGAGGGTGTGGGTGTGGGGTGGCGGGTGTGAGTGTGGATGTGTGGGTGTGGGTGGGGTGTGGGCACTGTCGTTCGCACCCATATCCACACCAACACCCCGTATCTACGGACTTTCAAGGATCTAGCACCATTTGATGATATCCTCATTTGTCTTACATCTACAAGTTGCACAAG